CAGATCCCAACCCCAAGATCCTCAACCCTGGACCCGAAGAAAAACTGATCCCCAAAGAACGGCTTGATGATCGTCGGAATACCAGCGCGTAAACTTGCACCCGTCGTGCCAGCTCCACCGTGATGCGCGGCTGCATCAATCTGGGAGAACAGCCAGTCATGCGGCGCTGCCTTAATTTGATGAATCTCAGGCGGGAGGGCAATTTCCACTTTTCCGCTTGACGGGTCACCAAGCCGGTCGGACCAACCCTTCGATAAAATACACCGGACATCGGCCCGGAGTACGGAATCCACGATCGTCTTAGTAAGAGCGGCTGGATCGGAGACAACGATGGAGCCGAAACCGATGTAGACGATCTTCTTCTTGTCGGCTTGGGCCTGTTCGATGAAATTTGTTAATTCAGTTGGCGGTGTCCAACTGCTGCCTTCATCCAAGAACCAATATCCCGTAACGCGAATCCAGTCGCTGTAATCAAGAGGCGGTGGTACAACGGAAGGCGAGAAGTTATATAGGAAAGGAACTTTGTTTGGCTGCATCTTATCGAGATTGGTACCGCGAAGACCAAGTTCTCGCTTGCGCCATCGGTTCACTTGTCCAGCTATAGCTTTCCAAAAAACATTGTCAAACATGACATAGGTAATGTAATTGTACGCCCCACCCATCTTATGTTCGGGAACAGCGAATGCATGTGGATATGCTCTAGTCCTAGTCCAAGGCATCGTGAAGGCGCGGAAGTAGGGTATCCTGAGAGCCTCCGCAATGTGTATGCCAGCCATGGCGCTCGGAGATTCAATCAGGATATCACTATTTTGACAACTTTTCCATGCAGAAGAGAGAAGGTCATCAATCCAACCTCGGAACTTTGAGGATGCTTCTTTCAAGAAGGAGTATGTAAACATCCCGTTTTCCACACATATCCGCATGAGTTCCGCCGGATCCCCTTCAACTGGGGCAAACTCAATGCCATGGTGTCTTATCCAAGGTTCAAACTCCTTATGAGTCGCGATTTTCGGTCTGTGGCCTTCCGCTATCAATCCCTTGCACAGTGCAATGTATGGTTGTACATCCCCACGGGAACCAATGGTCAGACATGTAATCCTTAGCGACTCGTGAGGCTTGAAATTGACCATGGAAACACGTGGATCATCAAAGAGAATTGGAGATGTCGCGGGAGACAATGGCACGGAGGAAGAGAGCGTTTGAGAGCCCTGTTGCTCATCGAGGCCCCCAAGCCTTGCCTCTTGTAGCATTTGATGTTCAGCCATCGCAGCCTCAGCCTCCTCTTTTTCTTGCTGTGCAAACAAACCAGACTCAACTAGGTATCGAACTGACTCAAGATTTTGATGCAGGGTAACAGCACAGTCATCTCGGCCATCTGCGGTATTGAATTCGAAAAACAACTCTTCGTGACCGCTAATAATCACAACAAGACCGTGGTACCCGAACCGAAAACCCTTCTCTTTTTCGACATTTTCTATATCCTTTAATGGTAGGATCATCTTGGTCCGCGTCCCAGGAAGTAGGCTTCTGAAACACATTTTCCGATTGCTAATATATAGCTTGCCGTAAAGCGGGAGAACTCGATGAAGATAAGCAAAGTATGTAGCCACTAGCTTCTCAGAAGGAGGGAGGGCAAAATGAGCACGGAATCTCTGTCCGTGTCCACATCCTTGCTCTTCATCTTCCGGATCAACCATCCTATCATCGGATAGAACAGCTTGGCCCTCTCCATAGTGTTTCCTCCCACCTATCCACATGCCAGATACTTTTTCGAAATACCCCATCGATTCAGTTGCAAGAATGTTACTCATGCGCTTTGATCGACTTTTAAGGAATCCGGCAGCACGTTGCAACGGATAGCTGCCAACCTTCATTAACTCTTGAAGGGTGGGTGATGAAGCAGAGCGAGCTGCACTTCTATGTTGAAGATCATGTTCAGAGTCACCACCACCATCCTGAGGCTCAACTGGCCCGGATCTCATAAGAGATTCGGTTATCTGCGTTCTTGTAGGAGGCTGGTTGAAAACTTCGACTTCTGCGCCTGATGGTACGAAGCGGGTAGTATCTTCTGAATGGCGCCGCGGTTCATCCCCAGGTTCAGATGGTGAGGGCCGTAGCATATTAATGGTGGGCGACTGGAAAACATCGCTCCTGTTCAAGATCTGGCTGGCGGACTCCGCTGTCCCGCATGCCGACTGTAAGATAGCGGAAACCTCCGTTGCATGTTCTAAAGACTGAACAAACGAATCTGATGAGCTCTGAAGTTTACCCTCAGGAGACCTTTCGGGTGGGTGGTCCCCAACATTGACTCTGCCGGTACTCTCGCTCCTCCTTCTTTGCCCAAGGCCAGCTACATTCGGTTCATTGATGTGGCCCTGCATTAAGCCGCGAAGTCCTGAAATCTTAGGACTTCGACTCCGGTCGCGAAGAGGCGACCAGGGCCGCAGGGTAGCTCTGACCGACTCAGGATGTAACGTTGTTCCACATGGAGGTGAAACCGCCCCAACGGATTGGGAGCGAGGTCTGGGCGCTCGGCCATAATCAGGTGCAAATGCGTTGTGTTGGATTTGCTGTTCTGGCGTTTGGTTGACTAACTTTTTCAAAACTTCTATGGCCTCTTTGCCACATTCAAAAAATGAAAAGAAGTACTAACAGACAAAAAGAGGCGTTAGCGGCAAATATATAAATGTACTTCTTCTCATTTTTCTTTTATTTTCCTTTCTTTCAGAGGGACGGTATATTTACCTCATCAACCGCACAACTCTCACCGCTTTCGAAAACGCGGATTTTGAAAGTATCTGCAAAATCAATAACAGGGTTTTCCTCTATGTCAATAACATTCTCAATCGGTAAAGATATCTTGACGCTATCTCCCTCATTGTGGGATCTGAAAATAACCTTTTGCAAGGTTTTCACCCACTCCCTCGCATTCGTGGCACTGTCAGCCCGGAATCGATAGATTCGAGTGTCTGTCGTAATCGTAAAATCTTTCACGTCTTTGTCCTTGCCTTTATGTTCCGTTAAACTGGCCGAAATCCCATTCCGCAGGTCAACTTGACCACTGGGGAAATAAAGGTTTGACGGGTCGAGATAATACGACAATACATCACCCTTGAGCGTGAACCAGTATCGACTATATTTCGGGTTTTGACGTCCTCGTTTCGAAAGATAACCCGACTTGACAATGGTATGGGACTTTTTGGGGAGATAGGCGTAGAAGCTAATATGTCTTTCGGTAATGTACATGTACCCCTGAAGCAATACACTTTGGAGAAGCCAACATTGGTACTCTGATATAACCTTTTCAGGCCTATCAAACCCAAATATATCCATAAGTCGTGCGGAGAGAAGTGACGAGAGTGATGACTCCTTTCGTTGGCGGTCTTTTTCAGAAATCCCCGTCTGGTTTGGTGGAGATTCAGATTCGCCAAAGCGGGCTTGCGCTTCACGCATGAGACCTTGCACTGGAGCCTCTGTGGAAGCCACTATTTGTACAGCTTCCCCGGCTGACGGCTCGTTCGACGCTGTGACATCTGGTTCAGGAGTTGTCTCTTTCCCGGTAGGACTCTTGCCCGGCAGTTTCGAAAGGGATTTCAGAAACTGGCTCTCTGACATCCTTTTCCGATGAATCGACCGACCACGTTCGTTCAGAGTTTTGGAAGATGGGGAAGGCTTGTCTCCATGGGCGATTTGCGTAAGCTGGTTTGTGGAAGGGCTGTCACCACCCCGAATATCGACGCTATCGTTTGATAGGAAACGGTTCTTGAGTGGCTGGTCTGTATCTTCATCCGCATCGCTGTACTCATCGAATCTGGTGTGGAAATCACTTTTAGAGCTTGCGGCGGCTATCATGGAGAAGACAGACTGATGCATGTGTGTCAACATCCCTGCACGACCAGCAGTGTCCGATGGCGGAGCCGCCATATCCTCTTGTTCGTCATCCCCAATCCTTAGTCGTTCAGGAATGTGGCTCAAGGAGAGACGGTTGGAAGAGGTGCTATGGGTGTTGAGCCTACCAGCTCCCCCTTTCGATCTAGATTCATCGTATGGAGGCATGGTTGCGTGATAAGGTGGAAAAGTGGATACTGTTGTGTATGGAGGCAATGAAGGGTTGAGGGTTAGGGATCGAGCAAGTGATCTATGGATTAAACGTGTCGTCAGACTCAGAGAAGCTAGATCATTATGCGGAACCTCTGTTCGCTAAATTTATATTGAGGTATTTAAGGTTCTGGAGAAAAACCTCTCCAGGGAAAAAAAAAAAAAAAAAAAAAAAAAAAAAAAAAAAAAAAAAATTAATTAAGATAACCAAATGCAGAGTGAGGTGAGTTGTAGCTAATATAATTTTGGTAAAATGCATACCAACAAGGGTACGCGTAGCAAAAGAGGATAGGGATGAAAGCTTACCTGAGTCAAAGCACCATCAGCTTGAAAACTACCTTGGTGCAGCTATGGATAAGAAAGGCTATGGGAGCCAAACCAGTCAAAGTTAAAGAGCGTAACAAACAAACTGAATAACTAAAGCTGAAGGGTATCACATAAAACTAATTAAAAAAAACACACAAAGGCAAAAGGTGAGGTGATGCGGGCGTGTTTGTTGGCTGGAGAGACAAGAAATGCAGCTTATCCAACAGGGTTGTAAAGGGAGGACTTCCAACTAATGGGCCGAGTCCGGAGTAGTTGTTGGGTTATCTACATCACAATCTCAGCAGTCCGCAACGTCATAGGTTAGCGGTATGGGTGGGGAGGAGAGGATAGAAAGGGGAATCCATCGCCAGATAGAGGGATGGGATGGGAAGAGGAGCATAAGGTTGAGGAAAAGGTTGTAGAGAGAGAGAGAGAGAGATAGAAGGGGAGAAAATAGAAGGCGGCAATGACGGGATGTCAGCCGTGTCGTTTTGCTTAGAGTGAGGTCAGGCAGTTCAAAGCCTGGGGCGTCTGGGGCATGTGATGGCCTAAACATGGTGCACGAGCCACAAGCACCAGCCACAGACCTCATGAGGCTTTCAAATGACAGCCATTCCGTAGATTATGTCATCATCCCCAGAACCGGCGCCAAAACCTGCGTGCAATTCGAGCAATTCGAGCAATTCGTGCAATTCCGCTTCTTCCTTTCCAACAAGGGTTTTCCTTCGATAAAAATAACATAAAAATAAAAGAATCTAAGAAAAATTTTTTTTCAAGATATAGGATCTGTTTATATAGTGCTTTGAATCTAAGAATAATAACCAAGTGATGAGTGAGTCAAAGCTATAATTAGCGTTTGACAGCTGATTCAAAGAAACAAAGAAGCCCCAAAGGTCAAGCCAGCCATTCCCCAACCCAACACCCAATTCAACCAATTTAAACCTGATAGCCCTGCCCAAAAGGGATATAGCGGGTGGCAAAAAAAGGGAACGCAGTGTTGTGTTGGATTAAACGAACGTCCCCATACAACCAGCTGAGATCAATATCCACCCCCATCCTCATATTTCTTCAACTTCGTCTCAAACTTCGAAACCCACTCAGACAATATCAACGCCGCAACGTTCATACCAGACAACGAACTAGTCTCCATCGTCGAGATGAAACTCTCCATCCCGCTCGTATACCACAGGTTCGGCGCCAGTTTGATATCCTCGAATGTAACCCGCGGATACAGATATGGATACGACTGCCACACCTTCTCGTAAGACCAGCTAATATGTGACGGCGAGATATCTGCTATGCTCTGGTCGTCGCGGTAGGTGGCCTCACCGCCGTCATCATTATTGTTGGCAGTGGAATTATTATCCAGCAGGCGCACCCCGTCAATTCCAAGGATTTGGCTTAGGAAGCTTGCTTTCAACTGCTTTGGCGAAAATATCTTGTACACGTAGTGAGGCCCAGGTGAGAGGTCATTGCGAGTGGTTTCTGGCGGCTGGACTTTTTGAAGTGTGCTGATGCTCCAGAATTGAGCTGGACCAACACCATCAGTTCGAGTGCCTAGCTTAACATCGGGGGGGAGTGTGGTGAGGACAACCTCAGGGACAAATGAGTCGGCAGGCATTTTGAAATATGATGGTGACAGTTTATAAGGTGTGGCAAAAATTGTGACATGGAGGTTGACGTAACGTGGAGAGTCGATTGGGCGTTTCAGGCGTGGTGAAATAGAGATATTGGAGAATTGAAATGGGTTGGCGATCACCACATGGTCAAAGGTGTCTTCTGCAAGGGTATTGTCTGGGTTACGATGGGTGACCTTGTATGTCTTGTTCCCAGAGAGCTCAATACTAGTTACGGGGGAATTTAGATTCACTGTTGCCTTTGATGCGTTAAGCATGGACTGGAAGATTTGCCAATTGCCGCCTTCTACAGCGACTGCGCCATCTGTCGCCATGCATACCATCGTCTCGAGGCCGTGGATCAAGGGCAGGTTTTGCCCGTAGTTCACCCGTGTGCTTGCCTGGATGATCTCCCTTGCGAACTGCTCGGATACGCCATTGTCTTTCAGGTACTCAGCGCCGGAAGTCCAAGTGGCTTCGGCTAGACCAGCACTCATAGCCGCGTCGGATAGAGATTGGAACGGGAAGTATGGAAACTTGTACAGCTTCAAAAACTTGTTCACTGTCGACTTCATAAGATTCTGCGTCTTCATGGGTGCCCAGCCGTATCTATAAATCAGCTTGAAGATGCTCCACCAATACAAGCCCCCCCTTTCTTGGAGAAATTCAAACTCTCTGCCATCCCAGACACCCAAGCTATGAATGGATTCCTTTGGTTGCCCAAAATCTGAATCTCTCAATTTCAGACCGAATTTCCTCGTAGCTCGGATCAGGTTCTTGTTTACCTCGACAAATATAGAGGCACCCAGCTCAACTGGAAGACTGGGATCGTCGAACAGATTGACAGTGGTAGATCGACCACCAACGTAAGATGCCCGCTCGTAGACGGTGAGGTTGAGCGGGATTGAAAAAAAATCAGTAAATTGTCGCAGATAGTACGCAGCAGAAGCACCAGCAGATCCGGCACCTGGGTAAACCAATGTCAATATCCAACTTATCGTGCGGCAACAAAACATGAAGAAAGCGGACACACAACTTTATTTTTTATTTTTTATTTTTTATTATATATATATATATTGGTATATATATGGCTCCACTTACCGATCACTGCTACTTTCTTAGCTGGCGCCGGATCCGGGGTTGGTGACAGGACCGTAGCTGGTGCTTGGGGTGGTTCAGGCTCCACCTGCAGCGGAACCTGTGCATCCTGGCAACTGGAATGGGAAGCTAACAAGAGCAAACAGAAAACAAAAATTGCCAGATGAGAAAAAATGCTGCTGCCTTTGATCAAAAGCATTTTTGCGAACTATCGCCTGTTCATGAACGAATGGACGATATAAAGAATGCAGAGGGAAATCGGATCATCACGGACAAACCGCTCGCCCTCTATTTGCGGCGGGTTACCTAGGTAGTGTCGGGAGATTGCAAATAGTACGATGGTCCTCCCGTTCAATAGGAGGAGGACACCGAGAGCTCTCTCGGAGTGGTGCGATAATCGTGGAATCGTGGGAGGATAAGCTGATAGATATAAAGAGGTTTTGCTCTCTGGAAGACGACGTCGTGGTTTCTGGGTCGTGGTTGCGGCTCTTCGGGACTGGGCGTGGGGAGCTTCAGCGCAGCTCGTTGGGCGGTCGGGCCCTTTAGTGATGCAGGCGCGTCCAATGAGTTGCCGCAGATCGACACACCCAAAATCTGCGGGTGAATATCAAAATCTTCTCGACACGTACGGGAGTATTTACTGCAGCAAGACTATGTAGATTGGACATGAAAGCTATATTTTCTATATTTTCTATATTTACCAAAAATAGGAATGAAAATCTTCTTATTGTTGTACCGGTTAAGGTTAAGGTTGATGAAGATCGCGAGAACAAGTCCACGGGTTCTAATTGGCTCAATGTCAGAACCCCAGCGATGACATCACCACCGTTGAAGGAAGCCCTGGAGCTTAATTCGACTTCACATACTTCGTACCTGATCATTACAAGAAATATACGGCATATATAAGAGTGGCGCTATGAGCATCTCCCTGGACGCAATTCTCAAGGAAAAGGAACACTTTTATAAATCGCAATCGACAGGGCGGCGCAGGTACCAAATTTCAATTCTGTGCATATAATGCGTGTTGGCGTGCAGTTATCAGCAGGCAAGCAGTGATGATGATGATGATGATGATGATGATGCCTTCGAGCTCCTTGCTCAGTTGGCAAACAGAGAGGAGGCATGGCAGCTACGACAACGCTTGATAAATGTCAGCAACGCTCTCCTGTTGGTTTTAACGATGTGCCCCTGATATTGTGCCGTTGAGGCTGGGGGCTGCTGGCTGGAGCGCAGTTGCCAACATCTGCAGCCTGTGTCCCGTCCCGCCTTCGGGATCCAGCCGCCTTTTTTTTTTTTTTTTGGGTTCCCAGGCTGCTCTTGCACACTGACTCATTCTCTCAATGCAAGTCGTGCATGCATCGTGTATCCTGCTCAAGTCTATGAATAATATTTCTCTGTTCTCCACGGGCATCCTTATATGAGCTCCTCTCAAACCAATCGGATGTTCCCAAAGACTACCCGCATTCAGCATTTCAACACGTTGACTCTTTACCATGACGCCTTTGACCTTCAGCGATATAACGACCGCTGTAGCTTTCATCTCTATCATCGGCCTCATTATGACCTACGACCACATTACCTTGATCAAACAGAGACTCGACGTTCTTAACAGCAGACTATCAAACGCCATACGGCAATCAGAAGCAGCAGAGAATGAAGCCCGCTCGGCAATCGAAAAATCCAACATCTGCCGCAAGAAGATGGCAATATTCGAGGAGAAGCTGAACGACTACCAGACAGCTCTGATGGATGAGATCGCCGAAATCACCCAGCGCCAGGATCTGAACGCCGCCGTCAACCACCGCGATAAAGACAAGAACCAACAGGGAAGCGTTAGCCGTCCGCTTCACGAGGTTCCTACCTCCTCCTCTCGCAGGATGGATCAATCGTTCGTCAGCAGAAGACCGACCCGGGAAACCATCCTGTCCCGTGATACGT